GGGGGGGGGGGGGGGGGGGGGGGGGGGGGATTCCTTTTGAACAGGCTACAGGAGCAGATCTGCATTGGCCCCCCACCCATGTGGGCCACAAGGCCCACAAACCTACTAACAGGCTGACGGACAGGCAGAAAGTGCTGATGAAACATGACAGAAGCATAGAGTAAGTGCAGGTAAGAAGCACCCGGACTCATTAACACCGACAAAGCGAGTGGCCATGACCAGGAGGTGAAATGGAACAACATACACATGCGGTTATTGACCAATAACAGTTAAGGTTACACTTCAGCCAAGCAACAGCAGCCCAAACCAAGCTTGCATCCTGATAGCTACAGAAAAATAACAAAGGCTGGATTTTTTTCTTCTTCTTTTTAATCTCAAACACACCACAAAAAAATGTGGGGGGAGGCCTTAAGGTCTGGCTTCCCAGCCACTTCCTTAAATATCAAAGGTTTGAAGGCCAGTAACTGGCTCATTAAAACCTGGGCTGGCTCTTTTTATGGGGCTGATGTTAACCAGGAGAGAAACAAAGTTCACAGTTTGTGTTTGTTTACTCCTGAAAGAACAGCGTGTCTGGAAACAAACCCCGGCGGTACCGGCCCACTCCCCGCATCCCGTCTGATGCGGCCGCTCCGCACCCACTTCCCACGATGCATTGGGGTAGGGGGGCGGGAGGGGGTGTCACTCCTACCTGTGCTCATGGTTCGACCGCAAACCTACGGCTGAACGGAGCCGACCCTCAGCGGGATTACGGACGCCGGGCAGCACGGGCGGGATGCCGGAATGAGCCCACGTGTCGTGTCCAAGGTGGAAATCAGTCTTAATTTAATAAATTAGGTAAAATACAGATTAGTTCCCTCAACATGGGTTCTGGGTAAGTAAAAAGCAGGCGGGGCGGTCAAAGGATGTGGCATGGGAGTGAAAGGGGACAGGAAGCACACATCAACTCGCGGCCCAGATTAATGGCGGCGTGGCGATAACTATCCGACAGACTCCTTTTTTCGTTCTTAGGAACTTATCTGGGTCAACGTGGACTTTGTCTGACTTGCTCTGAAAGCAGTTCCCAAACCCCCCCCCACCAGACCTGTTGAAATGTTACCTCCCCCGCACCCCTGATGCCACCAGGGCCTCGTCACGAGAGGATCAGCCGCACGGGTTCGAGATTTGGGCGGCCACTCATAAGCCATAAACACAACCGCACGGAAAGGCTGAACCAAACGCCATGCCCCCCCCCCTCCCCCCAAGCGAGCCGGAGTCCAGAACCACCAATGGCTGACGTGCAGAAAACGTTTCCTTTCTGGCCACTCAGAGGGGGGTCATTTGGTTTTTCCAATGCATCACACAAGAAAAAAAAAAAAAACACATGGAAACCGTAAGCCGCTTCAACTAGATGGGGTGAAGGAAACAGAGATGGGCGGGGCTTGAGAGGCTGACACGGGTCACCTGATGACCTCATTGTGGGGGACGAGCATAAACCGAAGACGGATGTTAAAGCGGCAGGGAACGGCGGCACAAACGTACATGTGCTGCCTCGTAAATAACACGGACTGGGGGTCTACGCTCCCCCCACCACCCCGTGATACACAGTGCTGGACTGTTGACCGGTGCTTCAGTAAACACTGTGGTTCTCTGTGACCTGTGCCAGTGCTGCCCATGCAGGTAACACGGCCAGACTGTGAGCTCGGTCCACTGCTCAAACACACGCATACATGCAGACACACTCACACGGCCAGACTGTGAGCCCGGTCCGCTGCTCAAACACACGCATACATGCAGACACACTCACACGGCCAGACTGTGAGCCCGGTCCGCTGCTCAAACACACGCATACATGCAGACACATTCACACGGCCAGACTGTGAGCCCGGTCCGCTGCTCAAACACACGCATACATGCAGACACACTC